CATGTTTGGTCGGCGCCAGTGTCCGGCGGAGGAGGGAGTAGCACCTCTTGGGCGGGGACCGCGCTCCTTCGTTGCTCCTCAACCTCCTCGCTCCTCGGCCTCCTCGCTCTAAGACGAAGCCAGGACGAGGATAAATTCGCGTGAGGATACATAGAGAATCTCTGAGACCCCCATGGCTCTGGAGGATGTCTCGGGCGCCGCGGCCTCCTCAAAGCGTGCCAAAACGCTCTGAGAGGGTTCCGGAACGCTCTGGAACGGATTTCTCCTCGGCCTGCTAGCCCAATCCGACGCTCCTGACTCCTGAATTTGAAAATCACAAGGTGGAGACGGAAATGGGCGGACGGGGATGAGCAGGATTTAAAAGGAACGTGGGGAGGAGAGGAGGTGGTGGTCAAAGGCGGAGGGGGCGGAAGAGGAGGTGGAGGTGAAAGACACAGGGGGATGAGATGGTAACGAAGAGGAAATGGAAGGCGGAGGTGCGAAACGATGCGAGGGTGGTGGAGAGGAAGAGGAAGGAGCCAGGTATGGACGGAGTAAAGAAGGGGATGATGTGTGGGGGGGAGGGGGTTCCTCCACTTCCTCCTCCTCATCCTCCTCCTCCCTCCTCATGTTCTCCGTGCATCCCAAGTCGCGTTAGTAATGCCTCCGTTCCTGTCCCAGACATTCCTCCTCCTTCTCATCCCCCTCCCCGCCATCAGCATCATGATAATCACCACCATCAATACCCTACGCTTGCCGCTACTCTTCATCATCCTTACTGCCATCATAGCACCACTGTCATCGCCACGCCATCGTCCTCTCCACCTCCTCACCATTTCCTCTTCCTTGTACCCGTCCTCCTCATCATCGCCCTCCCTCCCGTTCGTCCTCCCCCACTCTCGCCCATCCAACTCCCACGGCGAACAGGCCCCCTCCTCCTCCTCCTCCTCCTCCTCCTTCTCCTCCTCCTCTTCCTCCTCCTCCGCCTCCTCCTCCTCTTCCTCCTCCTCTCCTCCCCCTCCTCTCCTCCTCCGCCGCCTCCACCACCCCCTACTGCTTCTCCTCCTCCTCATCATCCTCATCATCGTCATCAGCATTATCATCGTTATCAGCATCATCAGCATCATCATCATCATCATCGTCATCATCGTCAGCATCAGCATTATCATAGTCAGCACCAGCATCGTCATCATCATCGTCATCATCACCACCACAATCATCATTATCGTCGTCGTCACGTCGTCATCATCATCTTCATCAGCAGCATCATCAGCATCATCAGCAACATCATGATCTTCATCATCATCATCATCACCACCACCACCGTCATCATCGTCGTCGTCATCATCAGCAGCATTATCAGCATCATCAGCAGCATTATCATCGTCGTTATCACCCTCGTCATTGCCATATGCATCATCATCAGCATCAGCATCATCAACACCAACATCATCAACATCATCACCCCACAATGATCAGCAACATCATCGTCAGACTCGGTATAGTCATCATCATCGTGCCGTCGTCGCCACAATCATCAGCATCAGCATCAACGTCATCATCATCATCATAATCATCATCAACAATCTCATATCATCATCACCACCATTATCAGCATCAATATCACCATTGGCATCGCAAACCGCATCATCATCTTCATCATCAGCATAATCGTCATCATATTCATAGTCGCCATTGCCATCATCAGGATCATCAATGTCATCACCAGCATCGTCATCGACACCATCAACAGCAGCATCATCATATCATCATCATCACCATCATCATCATCATCATCATCATCAGCATCATCAACAGCACCACCATCGCGCATCATCGTCATCTTCGCCACCACCAACATCATCATCAACATCGCAATCATAATCAGCATACCCGTCGCCGTAATCCTCACCATCAGCGTCAATAGCATCACCATCATCATTCGCATCATCATTATCAGCATCATCATCAGGATCAACATCAATATCATCATCATCACCATCATCATCACAATCAACATCGTCCTCATCCCCATCATCGGCATCATTGATAGCATGACCACCATCATCATCAGCAGCATCACCAGCATCAGCATCAGTATCCTCATCAAGCAAGCAAGCAAGCAAGCAAGAAGTCATACACCCGGAGGTGCGTAGGACACTGGATGGGAAAAATTGCAGATTAAATAATACAGTCGGGCTACGTTGCGCCATGTTGACAGCTTAGCTGTGCGGACAAAGTGCCGCCAAGAAACTTCGCTGGTCAGGAGTGGGGTCAAATTGGCTATGCCGCCTGCCGCTTTGCAAGCGACGCGTAGCACCTGGGACATCCAGTCCGCGCGCGGCCTGCCAACTTTCTTTACATACCTGTCTGAAGCTGGCCGGAAAGATCCAGGGCAGAAGGTGACCTCTCTTAGGGGGCTCCCTTCCGGTGACCTGGCGGCTTTACCTAGCAAGAGGAGCTGCTGTCGAGCTACAGTCTCTGATAGGAGGGATTGCCCGGTCGTGTCCAAGACAGTTGCATTGCTCACTCTTGAAATATAAGCTGGCGCGATCCCCCAGATCGCGCGGAGGCACCGGCAATGAAAACCGTCCAGACGTCTCCTGCCGGCGGCATTCAACCACAATGTTGATAATCCGCACGTCAACTTGCTAAGGACCACCGCCTTGTAAACCTCGATTTTTCGACGGCGGCTAAGATTTGAATGTCGCCATATTACAGAAAGCTTGTCGAAATCCGCCCGGGCTGCGCCAATACGCCTGGAGAGTTCTTTGCTCGCGCCCCCCGCCCCAGAAATCAAAGCGCCCAAATAAATCATGTCTTCCTGGGCCGGTATGATCACACCTTGTGTGTCTTGAATGTTCTGAACGCATCTGACTTGGAGTAGTTGGAACTTGTCAGGGTGCAACTCCATACCATAACATCTTCCAGCATTTTGTACAGCGGCAAGTAGTTGTTCTACACCCTCTTTGGTCCTTCCCAAAATCAGAGTGTCGTCCGCGCACAGCAAGACTGATAATGACCCTCGTTCCCATAATTTGCGGTGCTCTTCGGGAAGTTGCGCGGCAGCGTCTTCGATTATTACTGTCATTGTCATGACGAACAGGAACGGTGACAAGGGGCATCCTTGCGATATCCCGGACAGCTGTGGCCTCGACGACGAAGTCATTCCGCAATCTCGTGCCTCGAAAAGCCGATCTGTGTATATTGCGTTTATGACTTCCACCACGTGCTCTGGCAAGCCGAAGCGTCGGAGGCCTCGCAGCATAGCTGAAGGGTTGATGGAGTCAAACGCCTTTTTCCAATCCAAGGCCAATGCAAACAAATTACCCCTCGATGTTCCAAGCTCCAAATCGATGCGCCTACGGAGTGTGAAAATAGCTTCTTGTGTCCCGTGCTTTGATCTGAAACCGAATTGAGACCCCGTCAACCTGGGCTCCGCCCCTGCATCCACCAGGCGCCGGTGCAGTAATGATGCAAAAACTTTATATCCAATAACAAGCAAGCTGATTGGCCGGTAGTTTGCGCAATCGTCTGTTCTTCCTTTCTTGTGTATAGTTGTTACCCGCGCTTTGCGCCATTCCTGCGGTACTTTCCTGTCTTGCCAGCAATGGTTAGCGAAATCCGTGATGCGCTGCAGGGCTTCGGAGCTGTCCGCGAGTACCTCCCAATATTCTGGCGGCGTGTCGTCTGGCCCAGGAGCTTTGCCATCGTGCAACTTCCGCAAACAAGCTTTGACTTCGTCCTCCGTGAAATTGGTCAGCTTGACTGGCAGCGTGTCTCCAAGAGCCGGTTCGTCAGTTACAGTGGCTGGTCGCACGCCCCATTGTATCTTCTCGAGGTACGTTGCCATGGTGTCCGCCCGGTCTTCACTGCACACCAGCTCTCCTCGCAAATTCCGCAGCCGGCCCTGCCTAGCTAATTGTGGCTTCCGGATGTTCCGAATATCTTTCCAGGCCCCCGTCGCCGCGGAGTCCTCCAGCCACTGCGCCTTATCCTGCCGCGCTGCCTTCCGCACGGCCTTGTGCTTTTCCTTCTCGACCATGGCTTTCCCATCGACTCTGGCTTGCGATCTTTCTTTGATAAGCTGCACGGTCCGGTCGCTGATCCAAGGTCGCCTGGGCTTGGGTGGTTCATCTGGTAAGCTCTCGGCGGCAGCCCCCATTGCTCTTGAGATGTCTTTCCACGTGTCCTCGACTACATCTGTGGCGTCCTGGGTTTGGTGCAAATTGTCCAAAAATACCGTAACAAATTGCTGTCTCGTGCCAGGGCTCTGCAAACTGCTTCGTTGTTTTCCTCTATTCTGTCGGCGTGGTTGAGATACGTCTATGCTGATGTCGAGCTCGCAGCGTACCAAGAAGCGCCGTGTAGCCAATGCTACTTCGCGCCGGCTCGCAACAGACAGCACTCGGTCGGCATTCGCGCTCGGCACGAGAAACAAATCAAGCAAGGCGAATTTGTTCGACTGGATGTCGTCACTGGGCTGGGTGCCCGGCTCCATGTAGGTAACCAGTTGCTCTTCTGGAACGTTGTGAAACGTGTTGCTGATGCTGTACTGCTGCACTGTGCAGAACTCCATCAAGAGATCGCGGTTCGGACACTCCACTTTGTACATTGCTTCGGATCCGAACGTATGCGATCCAATCACGTGCTCTTCACCACGTCGTTGCTGACCAAGCCGTGCGTTAAAATCTCCACAGATAAATTTGAGTCCGTTCACAGATACACTTTTGACAACCTTTTCCAGCTCAAGATAAAAATGTAATCTTTCTGGCAATGGTCGGAGGTTGTGCGGGGCGTAGCCCGTGAAGAGCGCGTGCTTGCCTTTGGCCCCACGGATTTTCAAGCACGCGAGGCGGTCGGAGTACTGCAAAAAACCACATATGCAAGAAGCCGCGCGAGGTGCTATGATGAATCCCACTCCTGACTTAGATTTGGTCTCGTCGTCTGCGTTCTCCGAGCCCGACAAAATAACACGGTAGCCGCTACTTGTATAATATTCTGTTTTCGAAGTCCATGTCTCCTGAAGGCAGAGAAAATCAATACTCCAAGCACGCATTGCTTGGCAAAGCGTGTAAAGCTTCTCATCGGTCAGGCCGGTAACATTCCACGTAGCAACTGTGATGTGCCGGCTTTGTGCACCAGAGGCTGAACGTGGGTGTGGGCATGCCGACGGCGCTGAAAAATCATCAGGTGAAACTGTGTCCTCGCCCTCCGGGCCCCGTCACTTCCCCGCACTCTTCCCGCTCCCTTTCCCCTTGTCTGTGGCGCGGCTCAGGGCGTCCTCGCAAGACTCGCGGAGCTTCTTGAATTCCGCGTCATTGTGGAGGTCTGCCCAGTTCTCCCATTCCGGACTGTGCCACGTGATCTGCAACGCACCACGGACCGAGCAAACTGATAGGATATCGTCGCCCCCCGCCTGCATGGAGAGCGTCGCATCGTTGACCTGGATCTTTTTGAAACCCCATTGCATCAAAAGCCGTTTGAGACCAAATAGAAATCGAATTGGGATCCGAATGTTGGCTGGCTTATCCCTGTGTGCCCAGATCCTTTTGGTATTATGGGAAATCGGGGATTTGCGCAACGTGCTCAACGTCGTCTCCGTGTCTGCGTCACTGCTCATCTTCGCAAACAGGACGCCGCTGAAGACCCCTCCCTTCATGTAGATTTCGGCCGGCGCCGGCACCCTCAGCTTGTCGAGCTCTTGCTTCATGAATATCTCTGCCTCTGCTAGCGATCCCAAGTCATCCAAGTTCCCAAACACGATGGTGTCGGAGTCTGAATTGCCGTACGTCGCCGCCTTACCAGACTGCCGGAGAAGGGCAACTTCACGCTCAAGTTCTGAAAGCTTCGCCTGCGTATCGGTATCCACGGACGCTGCGGATGCAGACCTTGCCGAAGCCGGCCGGGAAGAGTAATTCGACTCCAAAAGGCCAGCCCGTCTGGTCAAGTCGTCGATTTCGGTCTTGATCGGGTTTAAAGCGTCTTTCAGATCTTTTTGTGATGCACCATGTGCTTTAATAGATTGTATGTCGTGTTTGATGGGATCCAGGTGGTGGTTCAGGATCGTCTCAAGGCCCTTAGCGGTCAGGGGCTGGTCCGCTGCAGCCTGCATGTAATCTTGGAATTGTTGTTGGCGTAGTGCCAGTGCTCCAGGATCTTGTGCCATTGGCTGAGGCTCTTGTGTCGGGCTGCTCCCCGTCCTCGCCTGTTTGAGTGCACTCTTTACCGGGGTACCCATATGATGCTTTTCGGCCGGCATCTTGACGTAGGTTGCGAAAGACACGAGCACCCAGAAATAATGAAAATCTGCGTAGTAACAGTGAGTGAATGTTAGAGCGGAATGTAAGAGAAGCTTCAGCTGGACATGTGGTCTTGAGCCAAAATGGCTTGAGCCAAATGGCTTGAGCCAAAGTATCCTCATCACCCTGCCAGTATGTTATTCTGCTTGACCACCCCGGGATCAAACTCAACGCAAAGCGGATGCAGGAAGAACGAGAGAACGAGGCGGACTCACCTGACAGGCCGCACTTGACCCCTGCGAACCTTCACCGTTCCGCTGCCCCCTTCTCCCGCCCCAGAAGGGGATTCTAAGCCTCCTCCCCCCCCTCCTCCTCTTCATGCTGCTTCTCCTCCTCTTCCTCCTCCTCCTCCTCCCCCTGCTGCTTCTCCTCATCCACATCCTCCCTATCCTCACCTACCTCCTCACCCGCTCCCTTCACTATTCCTCCCCCTTTTCCTACTCCTCACCTCCTCCTCCTCCTGCTCCTCCCACTGCTCCTCCTGCTCCCTTCCCCCCCCCCCCCCTCCTCCTTCTCCTCCCTCCTCCTCCCCCCCCTCCTCCTTCTCCTCCCTCCTCCTCCCTCTTCCTCCTCTCCTCCCCCTCCTCCTCCTCCTCCTCCTCCTCCTCCTCCTCCTCCTCCTCCTCCTCCTCCTCTTCATTCTTCCTCCTCCTCCTCCTCCTTTTCCTCCTTCACCTCCTCCTCCTCCTCCTCCTTCTCCGCAGGCCGCGGGAGCGGCGGCGCCTGTGGCCGCTCGGAGCCCGTCGCACGCTGCATCGCCCCGCCGGCGCCTGCCGGGGGGCGCGGGGGCGAGCTGCGTCCGCCCTCCTCCGTGCGCTGCCTCTTTGGGGGGAGGCATGAGGAGGAGGCCTGAGGAGGAGGAGGAGGAAGAGGAGGAGGGGAAGGAGGGAGAGGCCTGAGGAGGATGAGGAGGAGGAGGAGGAGGAGGAGGAGGAGCGGGAGGAGGAGGATGAGGAGGAGGAGGAGGAGGAGGAGGAAGAGGGGGCGGAGGAGGAGGAGCACCACACCCAAAGAGGACGAGGCAGGCGGCCAAGAGCAAGAGACGAAGCAAGAGCCCGTCGAGGGGCAAGAGAAGTCCGCTGCCACTCAGGGTGGCTTTCGCGATTACCTGAGGAGCAGATGAATCGCCTAACAATTGCACGGAGCCGAGCGTGAGCGTGCTGTACGGTTCTCCTCGGGCAGTGCAGACATTTTGCCCGAGAGGCATTGAAGGCAGAGTAAATAACACCAATAGCGACAGCATGGCCAAGAATCTCTTCATCGGACCTGGCTTCCCAAAAACACGGCAGAATGATACTCGTGGCATCGGTCCCCCAGGATGGGGGCAACGGGAGATGGGCGAGCAGAAGAGGGCGGAGGAAGGGGCAAACAACATAATGGTTAATCTGATCACCGGCAAGATTTTGACAGCCGAAGTGACAGTATGAGGTGGCCTGTCGGAAACGCCTACTAATGGGCCAAGCATTGAATATAGTGCGAATCGCAGCCGTAGCACAAAAATGATGCAAATATTTAGAGACGAGGAGGAGGCGGCATTGAATCAGATCAAGATGAGGACGAGTAACATACGTATCCCAATAGCGTACTCTAGCACCGATAAGTTCTTCGACATGTAGGACTGGTAGTTGACTGTTAATGACCTTCGTGAGCGCACGCTGGAGACCTCCAGGGAGAACGTAAGTGGTGTAGTTAGGGAGGCTGGAGGTGATCTGATACTGCTTCATCATGTTGTATAGGACAGAGTCGGAGAAGAGAGGGTGTACACATCTGGCTGTGATCGGGGCGTCGTCAGACTCAATCAAATTCTGCAACCAAACACGCATCTCGTGGAAAGCTGCACTCTGTGCTGCAGCTCGAACCATGGCTGCGCAGGACACGGTCGATAGTCGAATGATATTTTTGCCAAGGCCGAGCGACTGCATGTTGAAAAAGACAGCTGGCGGGAAAGCATGACGAGGAGCACGAACGAGACCTCGGTGGCACTCGCGTTCCTGGGCCTGGCAGAACTTCGGGAAAGGCTGAAACTGAGCAACGTGACTTCACACAGGGGCAGCGTAGATATTGTAGGCCACGACGCTCTGCGTAAGACTCTGTCCGAGCTTTTTGACTTCCTGAGTCCGAGACAAAAGCTCGAGGGTGAGTGCTCGCAAAGCATCCTGTGAAGCATCGTGGCCTACAGTGACTCCTAGGTACACAGCGCTCTTCTGGATCTTAAATTTGGCAATGTTGACCTGAACGTCCTGGAACATTTTTCCCAACCATCCTGTGGTGTTGGGTCCTCGTTTTGAAGAGACGGTGCCCCGCGTCTCCTTCCTCCTCCTCTCCTCCTCCGCCTCCTCTCCTCTCCTCCTCTCCTCCCCTCCTCTCCTCTCCTCTTCACCCACCCAGTACACCGCTTCGTGGCTCCATAGGGAGCTCCACCGAAGGCCCCAGTGCCCGCGCCCGCATGCGTCACCCACACCCATTTCGGCACACCCCTCACACGTTTCGTGGCTCCGTAGGGAGCTCCACCGAAGGCCCCAGTGCCCGCGCCCGCATGCGTCACCCACACCCATTTCGGCACACCCCTCACACGTTTCGTGGCTCCATAGGGAGCTCCACCGAAGGCCCCAGTGCCGCGCCCGCATGCGTCACCCACACCCATTTCGGCACACCCCTCACACGTTTCGTGGCTCCATAGGGAGCTCCACCGAAGGCCCCAGTGCCCGCGCCCGCATGCGTCACCCACACCCATTTCGGCACACCCCTCACACGTTTCGTGGCTCCATAGGGAGCTCCACCGAAGGCCCCAGTGCCCGCGCCCGCATGCGTCACCCACACCCATTTCGGCACACCCCTCACACGTTTCGTGGCTCCATAGGGAGCTCCACCGAAGGCCCCAGTGCCCGCGCCCGCATGCGTCACCCACACCCATTTCGGCACACCCCTCACACGTTTCGTGGCCCCATAGGAGCTCCGCCGAAGGCCCCAGTGCTGCCGCCTGCATGCGTCACCCACACACAATTCGGCACACCCCTCACACGTTTCGTGGCCCCATAGTAGAAGCTCCGCCGAAGGCCCCAGTGCTGCCGCCCGCATGCGTCAGCCACACCCATTTCGGCACACCCCTCACACGTTTCGTGGCTCCATAGGGAGCTCCACCGAAGGCCCCAGTGCCCGCGCCCACATGCGTCACCCACACCCATTTCGGCACACCCCTCACACGTTTCGTGGCTCCATAGGGAGCTCCACCGAAGGCCCCAGTGCCCGCGCCCGCATGCGTCACCCACACCCATTTCGGCACACCCCTCACACGTTTCGTGGCCCCATAGGGAGCTCCACCGAAGGCCCCAGTGGCGGCGCTCACATGCGCATGCGTCCCGCACACCCATTTCGGCACATCCCTGACAGGTTTCGTGGCCCCATCATCCACCGGAGGCCCCAGTGGCGGCGCTCACATGCGTCACCCACACCCACCCAATTCGGCACACCCCTCACACGTTTCGTGGCCCCATAGGGAGCTCCACCGAAGGCCCCAGCGGCCGCGCTCACATGCGCCCCCGCCACCCATCCCGGCACGCCCCTCACAACAACAGGTTTCGTGGCCCCATAGGGAGCTCCACCGAAGGCCCCAGTGCTGCCGCCCGCATGCGTCACCACCCGCACCCAATTCGGCACACCCCTCACACGTTTCGTGGCCCCATACAGAGCTGCACCGAAGGCCCCAGTGGCGGCGCTCACATGCGTCCCCGCCACACATCCCAGTACACCCCTCACGCGCTTCGTGGCCCCATAGGGAGCTCCACCGAAGGCCCCAGTAGCGGCGCTTACATGCGTCTCCGCCACCCATCCCGCCCCCCCCCCCGCATCAGCATCATGTTTCGGGGACCCATAGGGAGCTCCACTGGAGGCCCCAGTGGCGGCCCGCACATGCGTTTCCGCCACCCATGTCGGCACGCCCCGCGCGTGTTTCATGTCCCCATCGGGAGCTTCGCCGAATGCCCCAGTGGCACCCATCTCGGCACACCCCTCACACGTTCCGTAATCCTATGTGGAGTTCCATTGAAGATGAAACCCGCAGCTGCGGTACTGACAACTGCATATGGTTGGGTTCTTCGCCAGGCTAATTATGATGTCGTTTTTGTTCTGGTGGTTAATCATCAACCGGATGCACTTATTTATGTTCAGGACAAGGCCACTGAAATATCCAGAGCGTACAAGCAGGCAGAGCACAGTAGGAAATTATCCTGGCGAAGGACGCAACCATATGCAGTTGTGAAAACTGCAATTGTGAATATCTTCTCGGTGGAGCCCCCTACGGGGCCACGAAACGCACGAGGGGCGTGCCGAAATGGGTGTGCGGGACGCATGCGGGCACACCCACTGGGGCCTTCGGTGGAGCTCTCTATGGGGCCACGAAACGTGTGAGGGGTGTGCCGAAATGGGTGTGCGGGACGCATGCGGGCACACCCACTGGGACCTTCGGCGGAGCTCCCTATGGGGCCACGAAACGCGTGAGGGGCGTGCCGAAATGGGTGTGGCTGACGCATGCGGCGCGGGCACTGGGGCCTTCGGTGGAGCTCCCTATGGGGCCACGAAACGTGTGAGGGGTGTGCCGAAATGGGTGTGGGGGACGCATGCGGCGCGGGCACTGGGGCCTTCGGTGGAGCTCCCTATGGAGCCACGAAACGTGTGAGGGGTGTGCCGAAATGGGTGTGGGGGACGCATGCGGGCGCGGGCACTGGGGCCTTCGGTGGAGCTCCCTATGGAGCCACGAAACGTGTGAGGGGTGTGCCGAAATGGTGTGGGGGACGCATGCGGCCGCGGGCACTGGGGCCTTCGGTGGAGCTCCCTATGGAGCCACGAAACGTGTGAGGGGTGTGCCGAAATGGGTGTGGGGGACGCATGCGGCCGCGGGCACTGGGGCCTTCGGTGGAGCTCCCTATGGAGCCACGAAGCGTGTGAGGGGTGTGCCGAAATGGGTGTGGCTGACGCATGCGGGCGCGGGCACTGGGGCCTTCGGTGGAGCTCCCTATGGAGCCACGAAACGTGTGAGGGGTGTGCCGAAATGGGTGTGGGTGACGCATGCGGGCGGCGTACTGGTGTGCCTTCGGGTGGAGCTCCCTATGGAGCCACGAAACGTGTGAGGGGTGTGCCGAAATGGGTGTGGGTGACGCATGCGGGCGCGGGCACTGGGGCCTTCGGTGGAGCTCCCTATGGAGCCACGAAACGTGTGAGGGGTGTGCCGAAATGGGTGTGGGTGACGCAAGCTCCCTATGGGGCCACGAAACGTGTGAGGGGTGTGCCGAAATGGGTGGGCATGCGGGCGCGGGCACTGGGGCCTTCGGTGGAGCTCCCTATGGAGCCACGAACGTGTGAGGGGTGTGCCGAAATGGGTGTGGCTGACGCATGCGGGCGCGGGCACTGGGGCCTTCGGTGGAGCTCCCTATGGAGCCGCGAAACGTGTGAGGGGTGTGCCGAAATGGGTGTGGCTGACGCATGCGGGCGCGGGCACTGGGGCCTTCGGTGGAGCTCCCGATGGAGCCGCGAAACGTGTGAGGGGTGTGCCGAAATGGGTGTGGGTGACGCATGCGGGCGCGGGCACTGGGGCCTTCGGTGGAGCTCCTATGGGGCTACGAAACGTTGCACTGGGTGGGTGAAACGCAGGGAAGAGGGGGAGGAGGGAGGGGGCAGCGGGAGGAGGAGTGAACGCGGGGCGCTGTCTCTTCAAAACGAGGACCCAACACCACAGGATGGTTGGGAAATATATCAACATA